CAATACTAATATTATATGTTATAATAAAAAATATTACATAAAAATACAATTATTTTATAGTATACTTAAAATGCTAATATTTACATTTTCATTTTTCTTTATTTTTTAATATGAATTTTCATCATTTTCAAAAATAAATTCAGCAAGATTTTATTTTAAAGTTTTGTATTACAGTTAGTCGATCTAAAACGGTGATTGTGCATTAACAGCTGTCAACCATGTTTGACGCAAATGAGTGGTCTGAACTTATTTACCCAGCACATTTCTTATTTTGGTCATGCATGTGCACCTGCACACCACTTATGTGCATATATATGTTTTCTCCTTGCAACAAACCACCCCTATTGAAATCAGTGGATTTGTAATGTTTCTGGTGCAGATCTTGTGTATCTATAAATTCTACTGGCTTATACTTTAATAATATTTAAAAAAGCACATGGTGCACAACTGTATAAGAACTAATTTTGTGTAACTCTGAGTTGAAAGATTGCAAGTGAAACTTTTCAACAGAATAACCAAACCTTTTTTTTTTTTTGTAGTTGTAGTTATAGCCATGTAAGGATAACAGAATCTGGTTGAAGTATTTATGACCAGCCAAATAAACACAGAACTGTAGTTGACATAGGGAAGCCTGACAGATAGACGGCTATCAAAGTATGTTTACAAGTTGGCAATATACTAGGCTTGATTGAACAAAGAAAAAACAAAGAAAACCCCCAAAATATGAAGTCTTTCATCTTGGAAAGGCAGACTAAACAAAGTCAAAGAATGACATTGTTTTGAAAGAGGAAGCTTCAATCCTCTTTGCTTTGTCCAAACATGGTTTCTGTTAATTAGCCTGTGGTTATGTCCTGCCAATACGCAAAATAATGCACAGAGGATTAACCAGTCATGCTTTAAATGAGGGGCAGAGCTCTAATTAATAAACGCTAAGCAGCCTTAGATCCTGAAATATAATCAATACTTCTGAGGACAGCAAATCTGCCAAACGTTCCAGTTTCTGCACATGACCTTGAAAGCGAAGGCCAATATTTTCTACACAGAAAGAAGCGAAAAGTAAATGACGATTCGATTTGAACCAGATGCTAACACTGACAAGCCCTCATCTTTGTAAGCCATGAACAAAAGTACCTATGGTAGAAGAATAAAAAGACCAATAGAATATTGGAATATTGGTGCTTCCTGTGAAGTTTGTATTTACAAGTTGGGAAATCGTAATTATAATGTCAGGTGCAAAGAAACAGGTAAACTAAGTGTAATATGATGTTACACCCAGTGTTAGCAGGTTTGCTAATTGTTAGCAATGCCAGCTGACGCTTTTAGCTCTTGTGGCCCTAATATGAATTGCACTTTGGTGATGTTTTGCTGCCTAGACTTTACATCAAGGGTACGCATAAGTGCATAACACTCGGGTTCTGGAAGTAATAATCCCATTCATTTTCGCCATAAGGGAATTTATAACCCATTATAAACCATTAAAGACAGACCTACTGTGAGCTGCGACTTTAAATAATTGTGTGGAATTCCTGGTGAAAAACCGACCCACTCTCATGAAGCGGGTTCTCAAACCAGCTATATATTTGTATGCATATTTTGCAATAAACTTAAAATATGCTGATACTATATACACAATCAACATCTTTAAATCAAGAGTTTATAATTTTTTTAATCAATAGTTTTTGACTGATTTTAAAATACTTTTTTGCTTCAAATCAAAGTTTATAAAATTACTTTCATGGTATATTACAAGTCTTTTTAAGATACTTTGTAGCTTTATGTGAGAAACAGACCAGAATTGAAGTCAAAACATTTTGTTGTCAACATACTGGAGCATCAAAAACCAATTGAACATGCCAATGTGACACATGCCGCGGACTGAAATTGGCTTTTTGAATAAAATGTTTATTGGGATCTTAGTGACAAGACTCGCATACGTCCCCTCCGGGGAAGCAGGGACATAAGGGGCTGGAAATAAGGCAATAGGGGCACCGTGGGACTCTGTTTGACCATGTGGCTTGATGTTCGGCTGGCATTTTAATGCCGCCACTTCAATGAGTTTTGACAAAATGACCTAAATACCTCAGTTTTGTTGGCTGAGAGAGTTTCATATCTTTTTACACAGCAGTGGGGCTGGGGACAGTAAGTAATTTGATTCTTTTATGGCGTTTTTGTTCGGCATGTTGGAGAGAAGAGTGAACAACAAATTAGAAATGAGTGTCTGAGGGCGAATAAACCAAATGTTTACAAATAATTCAGTTCAGTAGTTCCTCAGAGGAAAAGTTGTTTCACATTAGACAAGCTAGAGACATAATAGTATATATTAAATGCAGTTAACGTAAAATCTTTAGATTTTTGTCAAATTACAGGAAAGCAACTGTAATAACTGCATTAATAAGTGTTTTTGTACAACGTTTTATTTTATTCTTTTAATGCAAAAAACAAAATCATGCACTAAAAGGGACTGAATCCAAAGGAAAATGCCGTAAAAAAAAAAAAACAATGTATGGAACACTCTAAAACTAAATGTCTTGTATTTTTGTCTACAAAATAAAAACACGTACCAGCCCTAGGGGGAGGGGAAAAAAATATATATAAGTAAAATAAAAAATAATAATATTATCCTTCAGGTTCCTGAAGATAAAAAAAAAGTATTAAAATTGTATTTTGCATAACTTAAGGGCTTGTAAGCTATTCTGACTGAGCTTAGAGATCTTGTGTAAAAAAACATAATAATAATAAAAAAAAAGAATAAAGAGGTTCAAATCTACTTGGCTGCCTCGGATAAAACTAAAATCAATGTCTAAAGTCCTGCCCTGATAGTACAGACCTTGTGGGTCACCTTTATTGATTCAAAAGACAAGAACAGCAGATCAACCGAAGAACAAGAACCAGAACCGCCTTGAACGATGCCTTGTGTGAATGCCACACATTGGGCTCATGAATACTAAGTAAATGAAAGCTATTGTGTAGGCACTGAGTTTTTCTTTCATTTTAAAATTGCAATGGAAATTATGAAACCACATCTGGATAGACAAGGTTTGATGTTTCTTATGTTAAACTCTGTTGGTCTGGATTAGTATTACAGTAATAAACAGACTTTAAATTCTCCACTTCACGGCTAATCGTTGATCTTTCTGCCTTTCTAACAGGCCACTTCGAGACCTTTACAGCATTTCACCACAGCTTTCCCTGACAAATTTCATATCGAATGCAACCCCAAGCAGGCATCATACAGATATGTGAATATATATTACAGATTCAAAGGAGCACTAACTTAAATTTAGGTTCATATTTAAACGATTAGTTCACCCAAAAAAATTAAAATTTGCTCATTTACTCACCCCAATGTCCTAATGTCAAACCACTATGACTTTCTTTCCTTAGTGCAACAGTTGCTCTTTTCACAATTACACTGGGAACTGAAGCTTTCAGGTTTCAAAAGCAGCATAAATGTGGTCCATATGACATTTATGGTATATGCCAAGTCTTTTGAAGACATTTGGTAAGAAACAAACTAGTTTTAAAAAACCCTTACGTCCACCCTAAATCTCCATAAGACATGAACTTATAATTTGTATACAAATCATTCTAGAATAACAAAACCTGAATGATCCGCTAACAACAATTAACAGTTGGAGAAGAATATCGGTAAACAACGACTTAAATATCGGTTGTTTCTCAAATGAAGCTATTATTTGACTTGAGAAGACTTGAGAATATAGCACAAAATGATTATATGTTTTAATTCGCAATTGCAAGTTTATAACTCACAACTGCGAGAAAAAAGGCAGACTTGTGAGATAAAAAGTCATAATTAACTTTTTTACAGTATGTTTTATTGCATGGTGGAAACAAACAAAAAACCAGAACTGCGATATGTAATTCTGAAAAAAGTCAGAATTGCGTGATAACTCAGATTTGGGAGAAAACATTTTCAAAATTTGCAAAATCTAAACTCAGTTTATGTATCGCAATTCAGACTTTTTTTCTCAGTTTATAGCTCACAATTCTGACAATTCAGGTCTTTTTCCTCGCAATTCTAATATAAATTCAGAATAGCAAAAAAGGCCGAATTGTGAGATAAAAGTCACAATTACCTTGTTTTATCCTGTGGTGGAAACGGGCTTCCATATTTATAGACCACTTTTGTGAGGCAAAATAATAATAAAAATCTCTATTTATTGTAATTTCACAGAAAAAAGCAACTCTTCCACAAAAAAAAATAAAATTGTCATACTGGTTTGGAACGGTGGATAAATGATGGCAGAGTTGTCATTTTTGGGCGAATTAGTCATTTTATTTGAATTTATTCAAGGTCTACTCTCGCTTTGATTGGGTCAAAAGTGTCTTGCACAGGAAAATTAAATTAAAAAGAGTTTAGAATAAATAAGAATAGACAGAAAATATGGTTTAATGAGAAAGCGACAAAAGAAATCCGAACTATATGCCATATGTCATCTCAGTTAGCTTCCCGTTCTACGCAAAAAAAAAAAAAAAGTCTCTGTTGAAAAGGTGAGACCTTTTGAAAGTAATGCTGGGTCACAAAATGAAAAAGCAACACGGGAGCGAAGAAAGCCACCTAATTTGTGACACTCCGAGAGGGACCGGTTTTATCTGCCGTGATTTTGTGCATCTCGGCAGCTATAACACTCTTTAAAATCAGAAGAGGATGAGGGGGCATGAGAGATTGACAAGCAGAACAGATTCCTCCCTTTCATCTGCGTTAGCATTTGCCAAATTCAATTGAAGGAGGAAAATGACATGAAAAATAGCAAAATTGCTTAACACAAACAGGGATTCAGTCGTAGGCTCCTTAATTGGGTCCTCTGGGAAACATTCCGGCTACAAAATCCAGGATTTCAGGGTGTTTATTACAGGATGTTGAGACTCCAACAGATTACCTAAAAAGGGTTTGATAAGGGTGAAAAAAAAAAAGAGCGGGTGGACGAGGAACACAACAGCCGCTTGTCAGTCAGGGTTTTGGCACGATTGTGTCAGCTGAGATGAACATTTCTAATTAGGGAGAAATAGCTCAGTCTGGTTTAGTGAGAGAAGAAAAAAGAAAGAAAAAAAGACTTTACTGCCCTCTGGTGTTCATTTAAAACATTAAAGGCAGCTGACCAGTAGTGATGGGTGGCAGAGATGGAGGAGGCTCAGTTGCCACCCACTCCAGCTGCTGAAGCAGTCGTTCCAGTGCTGCTCTGTGCTGATTTCCCTGTGTGCCGTTGGCCACCACGCCGTCGACCACTTCCACCAGACTTCAACTAAAAGAGACGATGAAAACCAATTGTTTAGATGCTTTCATATTTATTTATTTATTTGTCAGGTTTGGGTTTAAAAACAGTTTGTCGTTAAAGGGATAGTTCACCCAAAAATGAAAATTTTATGTTTATCATGTTTTTTTTTTTTTTAATTAAAGGGATAGTTCACCCAAAAATGAAAATTTGATGTTTATCTGCTTACCCCCAGGGCATCCAAGATGTGGGTGACTTTGTTTCTTCAGTAGAACACAAACGAAGATTTTGAACTCAAACCGTTACAGTCTATCAGTCTTATAATGTAAGTGGATGGGAATCACGGCTTTGGGAGTAAAAAAAACACAAACAAAACCAAATTAAAATAATGAAGCATTACTGCCACCTATCTCTCAAGTGGACCATTGACTCTCCTAATTGAGATTGTAGATAGAGTGTCAATGGTCCATTTGAGAGATAGATGGCTGTAATGCACTTATAAGTCTGCGATCCGCCGTAAAGCAAGAAGAAGATGCCTCACGCACCTGTTGTCAAGAACGCGCTCAGGAGGACGCACTGAGTTCAGACAGTTCAGACATTGCAGTGAAAATCAGAGGTAAAAAACTATACAAATACTGTTCAGTTTCTTGCACAGACCGATCGTTTTGTGTCTTTACACATCAATGTATCGTCACGAGCCGCAGAGTTTAATTTGGTTTTGTTTGTGTGTTTTTTTTTACTCCCAAAGCCGTGATTCCCATCCACTTACATTATAAGACTGATAGACTGTAACGGTTTGAGTTCAAAATCTTCGTTTGTGTTCTACTGAAGAAACAAAGTCACCTACATCTTGGATGCCCTGGGGGTAAGCAGATAAACATCAAATTTTCATTTTTGGGTGAACTATCCCTTTAATTAAAAAAAAAAAAAACATGCTGTAGTAACAAACTGAAGGCAGTAACACACAATGTCAATTTGAAAGATTTTTATTTTTTGTCAGTTTGTCATTTCCATGAATAGGAAAGAAACGGTGAATAACAGTTATAATAAATAAAATACAGATTTTGACATTTTCTCTTTAAAAAAAGTAAAATTTTCTTTTGTTTTGCTAATTTTGTGTTTAAAAGCAAACAATTTTTTTTAATTAAAATACATTTAAAAAAATTTACAAATCTCACTTTAAAAATACTATGTTGTTCAAGAAGTGTTTTTCCCAACAACACTGTGCTGTAGTAGCAAACTGTAAATGATGGCAGTTTGAATTATTAAAAAAAAAATAATAAAAATAAAAGTAAATACATAAATACTTTTTTAATTTTCCCCTTAGCAAAACAAATAAAACTTTTTTTTTTTTTTTTCACGTTTTATTTGACTTTTTCCATTTAAATTATTGCCAAATAAAGGTGGGGTAAGCGATTTTTCAAAAACGCTTTAGAAAACTGATTCGGGCCGACTAGCAAAACAAACTTGTAGCCAATCAGCAGTAAGGGGCGTGTCTACTCATGATGTGGAGGAGAGCGGGTTCAGTGCACAGGATGGACATTATCCGAGGCGAGCGACAGAAGATAGAGATGGCGGATAAAAAACAAAAGAAGAAAACGTCTGCGGAACAAAAGAAGGCTTAATGCAAGAAGTAGGACCCGTGTAAATATTGGATCAGCTTTCCAGCACTGGAGAGAACTCAAGGAGCGGAAAGGCCTGAGATCGGAGTCTGTCAACACTGGACGCGACAAAGCGACCGTTGAAAATCATTTGAAATTTGTGTCAATACGTCATGAATAGAACGCAGCAGCAGTTTTCTGTCGGGGATTTGTCGTGTCGTGCCCTGCCGTGCCGCATCCAGTGTAGACCATAGATATGTATATATATCTATGGTGTAGACAGCATCACTGATTATAATGAGTTCCATAGTATTTTGTCGCGCCGCGCCACTTGCGTCCGGTGTAGACACGGTGTAACACTGGTTTTGCTTTGTTTCACAGAACTAATCGTTGCCTGGGTTGCATACGTATGTGTGGGGCGGAGCTATCAAAATAGGGGCGAGACCCTTTTGGGGTAGGGGCGTGTTTGTTTTGGTGATTTCAAATGTCAACATTGGCTACAAAAAATCGCTTACCCCACCTTTAAAGACTTGATTGACTTTGAGCAAATTTCAGTAAATTAAATTGAAAGAGAATATGAAATCCAAATATTTAGATCCTTTTTCATGGGTAGGTCTTGGTGGTCAATAGTTTTGATTTTTCTACCCCAGGTTTTTTTTTTTCTCTTAATTTTCTTCTTATTAAAACAAATAAAACTCAAATTCAGAAGATAAATACATTAAAAATGTAATACAATTATCTTTTATGTTTATCAGCTAAAGCTTCTTTTGCTTTAGTTTTGGTAGATACAATTTATTTATTTAGTATTATTATTTTTTTAAATTATCAATTTTTAGTTTATGGCCATTTAAAACGTAACTGACTGACTGAGCAAATTTCAATAGATTCCGTTTGTAAACCTGTAATTTAACATCTCAATAATGGTTAATAATGACAATTTCACTATTTGAACACTACTTAAAAAGAAACAAACCCAGAATTTGCTCTGCAGTGACCATTAATGGAAAAATCAATTAACCGTTAAGTCTAAATGAGAGAGTCGTGAGCTTTTCAGAGGTGATTTGTCTCATTCAAATACTGTTCATGAAATAAACCAGCCTAATTCATTACAGACTCTAATGTCTTTTATAGTCTTGAAAGTAATGCTCTCAATACCTGTGATTTACACTACAGCAAATTAAACTTTTAAGAAGCTTAAAGAGTTTGACCTTAACGTGCTTTAAACCGTTTTACCTTCCCTTCACACCGTTTTCTAGTCCTTTTAACTTTTTTTTTCCTCCGCATTCTCTGTTTCAATCTTTACAAAGTGTTTCCTCGCCCCCTGCTGTCTACCGCACTGAGCCATAGACAGAAGAGAAGAGAAAAGGATGTTTTTGGTGTATGGGGGATGAAAAGGGTCGAGAAATTTCAAGGGGTGTAACTGTCCGTGAACGTTTGGAGATGAATATTACATGCAGCCCGAAGGAAATGTTAAAAGAATGAAAATGTGATGTGGAAAAAGAGCATATATTATTATTAATATAATAACAGATTATATTAACATGATTATTTATCTGTATTTAAAAAATGGTAATAATTGTTGTTTCTCTCACCAGTTGTCCCATTTGAGGGCTTCCTCCCATCTGTGTGGTTTCCTCGCTGGCTGACGAAAAGCCTTCCACCTGTGATGAGGTTTTCTTGGTAGACTGCATCTTGGCCTGAGGCTTGCTTTGAAGCAGCTGTCGTACAAGTGAAGACAACAGACAGGAGTTTCAGAAGGAAATGCATCGCCAGTTTTTATGACTCATGCTGGAAGGTAACAATCTCTTAATATACTTTATTGGCTGACATTATGAAATATGCATGATTGATGTCTCTAAAGTAAAACTGATTCACACAGACACCAAATTCTAGTTGGATGATTCTCAAGAATATATATATATATTATTATCTATAATAATTAAACTATATTTAAATAAATATTTATATATATATCTTTTTTATTATGTATGTAAAATGTATTTTATTTAGATTTTGAGGGTGAATGTTTTTGTGACCTCTGACCTTAGTGATGGTGCCCACGGCCTTGGTCCTGCCCTCTCTGAAGACGAGCCTCTGGTCCGTGTGAAAGTACTCGGGGGTCTTGATGAAACGGAAGTGTACGGTGGCTTTGTCCCCGGTCCGTAAACAGTCTTTGTTCATACCGATGATGGTGGCCGTCTGTCTGATACTGCCACAGTGAACTAAGATAGAGAGAAACTCATGACAAAGTGCCAAATAGATACAATATCTATTTAGTTACAATTTCTGTTTAAATATTTAATATTTTTTATATTCTTCAGTACAACAAAAGCATTGATATTAGAATCCAATATTGGAAGCACATTATATAAGGGTTAAATGCTCCCAAAATCAAACAGTAAATTCATTTATTTGTGTATATTACATTTCATTAAGGTAAAACAATGTAGATTTATACCATAATATTGGTTATAAATAATATTATAAAACATAAAATAAAATTTTTAAATATAGTAAACTGAAACAAAATTATCTGCCAAAATGTGTATCCTCTGGAATGTTAAATATATCTTTTAAAATATTTTTTCTTCAGTAAAACAACAGCAGTTTTTCTCAATACAAACATTCAATTATCATTTTTTGACACCCGATTTCATAAAGGCAAACCCATAGATCTATACTCATGTTATAAATGTGTGAAACAAAATTGTCAAAATTTGACTATCCTCTGTATCTGACAAAATATCTATCTCTATATATATATATATATATAGATAGATAGATAGATAGATATAGATATATATATATATATATATATATATATA